CTCCCGGTGTCAGTGAGGCCGCCCCAGTCCCTGCCCCGTTACCGCTCCCGCTCCCGGCGTCAGGGAGGCCGCCCCGGTCTCTGCCCCGTCACTCCTCCCGCTCCCGGCGTCAGTGAGGCCGCTCCGGTCTCTGCCCCGTCATCGCTCCCGCTCCCCGCGTCAGTGAGGCCGCCCCGGTCTCTGCCCCGTCATCACTCCCGCTCCCGGTGTCAGTGAGGCCGCCCCAGTCCCTGCCCCGTTACCGCTCCCGCTCCCGGCGTCAGTGAGGCCGCCCCGGTCTCTGCCCCGTCACTGCTGCTCCCGCTCCCGGCGTCAGTGAGGCCGCTCCGGTCTCTGCCCCGTCACCGCTCCCGCTCCCCGCGTCAGTGAGGCCGCCCCAGTCCCTGCCCCGTTACCGCTCCCGCTCCCGGCGTCAGTGAGGCCGCCCCAGTCCCTGCCCCGTTACCGCTCCCGCTCCCGGCGTCAGTGAGGCCGCCCCGGTCTCTGCCCCGTCATCACTCCCGCTCCCGGCGTCAGTGAGGCCGCTCCGGTCTCTGCCCCGTCACTGCTCCCGCTCCCGGCGTCAGTGAGGCCGCTCCGGTCTCTGCCCCGTCATCACTCCCGCTCCCGGCGTCAGTGAGGCCGCTCCGGTCTCTGCCCCGTCATCACTCCCGCTCCCGGCGTCAGTGAGGCCGCTCCGGTCTCTGCCCCGTTACCGCTCCCGCTCCCCCGCATCAGTGAGGCCGCTCCGGTCTCTGCCCCGTCACTGCTCCCGCTCCCGGCGTCAGTGAGGCCGCCCCGGTCTCTGCCCCGTCACTGCTCCCGCTCCCGCTCCCGGCGTCAGTGAGGCCTGCTCCGTCACCGCTCCCGCTCCCCGCCGTGATCCAGGCCCCGGTCTTCGCCGACCGGCCGCTGTGCGAGTTGGGCGGGCCGCCGGCTGGCCCCAAGCCGGCTGTGCGGGGACTGATGAGCAGCTCGGGGCGGTGGCGGTCCGGGCCTCCGACGTCACGTCAGCCCGACATTCCCGCGCCCGCGCTGGGCCGGTCGCACAAAGTTTCGCCTCATTTGGTATTGGTAGCCCTGAGCAAACCATGAGGCGTAAACCAGGCATTTTTGCACCCTGGGCGACACCTTAGAAAGTCAAAAATTGCTATGCATGCTCGGACGAACGGCATCAGCGATCGTTGATGTTATAGTTTGGCTATATTCCAGTTTATGCATAAGTGAGATGGCGATATTTTGATGAGCCCTTCATTATTAAAAACCATTTGAGCAGTTACTGAACCGAGCGGTGTAATGGAATAATTTACTAGCGTCCCCATTTGCAATGTGTGATAGTATGCCTTGCCCTTGTAAAATGGATGTTAACACGCGCGCGGGGGTCAAATTGATCCCCCGAAGGTTTTTTGCAGAATGGTTTTTGAACGGCGCGGCGTAGCCGCACCACATTATGCATAGGTGTAGACAATTGAATAACGGATCGTTTGACATACAAAATTTAGATGTACCTTGTAAGGTTGCTGACCTATGGCAGGTCAAGGTCTGGCCTTGACAAGGTCTTGAATGAGCAAATTGCGTTGACCTAAGGTCAGGTATGGAAGTCAGACCAAGGTCACAACCAACCTGACCTATTACTCTAGGACTTGCTGTATGGGATGGGTTGTGGTGCTCATTTCGAATTTATTGACATTAGGAACCGCATTTTACATCTTCCATTGACTTCTTAGAGGCCAGAAAAGGTCATTGACCTAAAATGACCCGGGTCGACATTTTGTTTTAGGAACATGCTGCCTGGCGTAATTTTTGTCTCTTATTCAGATGCAAAACTCAAAGCAGGCCTGTATGATTTTGGTCACCTTCGCCTTAAAAGTGTCAAGAAAGGTCACTGACTTCAAATGGGCGTTTGATCTTTTCCCTAGAAACAGTTGCGTAGGTTCTGGGGCACTTTGGAGACCAGCCTGGAATTTTACCTTGTTTGGACTTATTTGACCTGAAGGTCATGACCTCCTAGGAAGCTCAAACTTTGACCTAATAGTTCCTGAGATCTCAGGGTGGTCGAATTGACCCCCACCCGAGCAAGGGGTATCTAGCCGGCCACCCGGGCGCGTGTTAAATGCTTCACGGACCGATTTTAGCGAAGCTTTGTTCGTTGCCTTTCGGTCTTTCGAATTTAGCAGATGATTGTTTTCACGCGTCAACAGATATTCGCAACTATTCCGTTAACTCGCTGAAAGAACTGCCCCTGGAGCACTGCCTGCCGGCTAGATCATCACCGCTCCAAGAACACAGTTTATTGAGGAGTGATCCGGCTGCCGAGAAACTCCGCTCGGGCTCTACCCCGGTCGGCTTGCAATGCTGGCAGCTTCAAAAAGCAGTGACAAATTGCCAGTTGGGTTGCCGAAAATTTCAACGGCGCGCATTCCCTTTGTCACGCCTTCACAGTAGCTGCTGAGGTTGCGCCCGTCACACTGTGATGTTGCGCGCTCGACCGACTGGCGTGATTTTGGCGCCACGCACTCTTGCGTGGCGCGGCTCGGGATCGGCTTCGTTACGTGGCCATTGAGTGGCTATCTTGCGTTCGACATTGCCTCCAGCCGGTCAGAGGACAGACTTATTTAATCTCGGAGGAACGCAATTACTTTAGGGTGGCGTTGCGTGCCACGTGCTTGATGCGCCGGTTGTATTTCAGGTTGTATGTGGCGGCTCACGGGTTTTGATCAAGCGTGGTACGGACGTTAGGTCCAGTACCGATCTGTGTAAATATGAGGACCCGTGGGTCCCCGAGGGGCCGTTGGAACTAGTTTTACCAAGCATACGGATAAAGAAGCTTGAACTTCCATGTTGATACTATGCCATCGCACAATTAATGAGATACTTAACTAGCCTGAAGTGGAAATATTGCATCATAAACGACATTTTACGATGAAACTGAAATGGGTTATTGGTGAGCATATTTGTCGATCAATGGAACACAACACGTCGCCGATACTTGACAATCCCAATCGTGTTGGGGACGGGGTGCGGCGACGGGGCAGTGGAGCCGTGATAGTGGACAGGGTGCGGCGGCGGGGCAGTGGAGCCCTGATAGTGGACAGGGTGCGGCGACGGGGCAGTGGAGCCCTGATAGTGGACAGGGTGCGGTGACGGGCAATAGAGCCCTGATAGTGGACAGGGTGCGGTGATGGAACAGTAAGCCCTGATAGTGGGCAGGGTGCGGTGACGGGCAGTGGAGCCCTGGTAGTGGACAGGGTGCGGTGATGGAACAGTGAGCCCTGATGGTGGACAGGGTGCGGTGATGGAACAGTGGAGCCCTTGTTGTTTGTTCATTGGTGTTTTCGGGCGCGTCGACTTCAATGGTCATTTTGCGCCCAACATTGGAGCTCTGATAGTGGATAGGGTGCGGTGACGGGGCAGTGGAGCCCTGATAGTGGACAGGGTGCGGTGATGGGGCAGTGGAGCCCTGATAGTGGACAGGGTGCGGTGACGGGCAGTGGAGCCCTGATAGTGGACAGGACGCGGTGATGGAACGGTGGGCCCTGATGGTGGACAGGATGCGGTAATGGAACAGTGGAGCTCTGATAATGGACAGGGTGCGGTGACGGGCAGTGGAGCCCTGATTGAGAAGGGCGCGGTGATGGGGCAGTGGAGCCTTGATGGGGATAGGGTGCGGATAGTGGACAGTTGACGTGGCAGAGAGTGGGGAAGCAGACAAGTTGTAGCGCTCTGGGAGTGCTGGGATGGGTACAGAATTGCATGCGCGGAACGGAGCTTTTGGTGATATGGTTCAGATGGTAAATTTCAAATTTCGGGCTCTGGTGATTTGAAAGTAGAACTTTTGGCTTTCAAACCATTGGTTTAATGAGTAAAGCGTGGCGTAAGCTCTGCTTGGTATATTTGCTTTTTGATGTCATACACACACACGCACACACACACGCACGCACGCGCGCACGCACGCACGCACGCACGCACGCACGCACGCACGCACGCACGCACGCACGCACGCACGCACGCACGCACGCACGCACCCACACACACACACACACACACACACACACACACACACACACCACACACACACACACACACACACACACACACACACACACACACACACACACACACACACATAGGTAGATAGGTAGATAGATAGATAGATAGATATGACGTAGAGCTGTGCGCCATGCACTGTGTGAAGCGAATGCACGCTGATCACCTTCCAACGCAACGTTCCATCAATTCGTTATGAGATGTTGTACAATTGGATGGTGCTGGGAGAGCTGACGGGTCTCCGCCGGCCGGAAGCCATCGAGCAGCCAGGCGGATGTGACCCGTCGCTACGTCCTCCCCGGCTGCGGCGGGAGGAGGGGTGGGGGTCCAGGCTCGCCTCTGTGTGCTGGCACCACTCCGGCGGCCCCTAGCAATCACCGGCGGTGCTAGGCGATAGTCTGCCCCCCCCCCCCCCCCGGTGCCAGACCGAGCGCCGGTCGGGCGGGGTCGCGCCGCGCCGCCCCGCCCACGAACAGGGCCGTGTCGCGCCGTCATCAGCGGGGCCGGCGGGGCCGGTACGCCGGACACGCGGCTGCCGGCGCCTGCGCTGGCCGCCGACAAATGACCCAGCTGCCGCGCGCCGGGGGGGGGGGGGGAGGGGGGCCGCCGCCGTCCGCCAGCGCTGATGAGACGGCGGCGCGGCGTTTTTGTCGGCCACGTCGGCTATCACAGCCTTGGGCATTCTCGAGGGGCTGGGCGGGGTTTTGATCCTCAGGGACGGTTGTTGGGGCCTGTTCGCCTTGTTTCTGAATTTCGCGCGATGTGTGACGGTTTGTGATCTTTACGCGTAAGGCGTGTCTGAAGTGCGGTGATTTTGCCACGAAATCCGTCCAAGTTAGGCTTGCTCCCCTGATCTTCGGCGAGCTCAGTTCGTTGCAAAATGGCTTGAGTAACCGACGCGCTCCAGAAGACCATCGAGCTCACTTCGTTATGCTCTTGATTCGTCCACCAACTCTGCTCTCTGCCCGTTTCAGCCAAGCCGAAACCAAAGCCCAGTGCCGCTGCTCAGAAGCCCACTGCCGAAGCCAATAAGCCCGCGGCGGCGAAAAAGCCCGCCGCCGAAGCCAAGAAGCCCGCAGCGGCCAAGAAGCCCGCCGCCAAGAAGGCACCGACGCAGCGGAGGAAGAACGCGTCTGACTCGGACTCGGACGACGAGTTCGCCCCGACGAAGACGAAGGTGAGCTTGCGGCCGTGAGCGGCGTGCGGCCGTGCGAGGGCGGCTGGGCAGGCTGCTGAGCCGCTCACAGCTCAGGCGCCGCACGGGGCGGTGCGCTGCCGTCTGAGGGCAGCGGGCGCGAGCGGCGTGCTGCCGTTCGAGGACGGCGGGCGCGAGAGGCGTGCTGCCGTTCGAGGACGGCGGGCGCGAGAGGCGTGCTCCCGTCTGAGGGCAGCGGGCGCGAGCGGCGTGCTGCCGTGTGAGGACTTCGGGCGCGAGCGGCGTGCTCCCGTCTGAGGGCAGCGGGCGCGAGCGGCGTGCTGCCGTTCGAGGGCAGCGGGCGCGGGCGGCGTGCTGCCGTCCGAGGACGGCGGAGCAGGCCGCTGAGCCGCTCACAGCCCAGGCGTCGCAGAAGGCGGCGCGCTACGCTCGGCTTGTCTGTACGCATGGTGTGGTCGAGAGTGAGCCGCGACCCTTTGCATGGGCGTCGGTTGCAGTTTTGGCAGAATTAGGAGACGGGCGAACGGCTCAGTCATGGTCGGCGTTCGGCGTGAGTTGCCCATTCAGCCGGCAAACATTGGTTGAAATAAGGTGGTGCACTAGTGTGCAGTGCTTTTCCTGATGGCGTAGCGGCTTGTGCTGATGACTTTGTTTCCCCACGTCATTCGAGGGACGGGTTGTCCGAACCAGCGTGTTCTGTGGCTGTATTCAAGGCGATAAGATTGGTTCTCCTTTCAACATATCGGGACGAAAGACGATTCTCTCCATGCTCTTCCCCTCAATAAGCCCGCACTAAAAGCTATTTTATGCATAAATTTCCTTTCAATAAGCTTCAGCTGAAGACTATTCGCTGAAGGCGATTCTCTCAATGGTTCGCTCTTCAATAAGCCTCAACTAAAGGCGATTACCCTGCAGAGGATGCTGTCTGCAGGCGGGCAGGGACGCGCGCGACGTCCCATAGCAGGGACGCCCCTCGCTATTGCGCCGTCCAGAGCGCACGTTGCAGGGAACGGGATGACGCTTGTCCGTTTGTCGAGAGTTCGGAGCTAGATGTGATCCTAGGAGACCTGATCGATACGACTCCAGCTCCCGCTCTGCCCCAAGGATGATTGCGAAAGGTTGGGGGCCCATTTCCGCCTCGGGTGACCTTTAGCGACCCCTCGTGTGCGAGGTTGTCACGGCGCCAATCGCTTCAGGAGTTACGCGCGTCGATAAGCAGCCGTAATCGGCCGGCGGCGGCCGGGCCGGCGGTGGAGCGGCGGCCGGGCTCGCCGGCCTGGGTCCGGCTGCGGCCGGCGGACGCCACTGTGGCCGGTCGTCTCGCGCCGCACGCGGGCCGCCGCGCCACTCGAGCAGGCTCGCCGCAAACCCGGCGTCGGCGGGCGAATGGGAAGCAGTGACTTGACCGGGGTCCCTCAGGGAGCCCGGGTACCGCGTGCCTCGTCGTGATCTGGCGGATCGAACTGATGTGGCGAGTGGGGCAGGCGTGGGAGCTGTATATAGCTGGGAATGGTGGGCCGGTGGGCAGCGCGGCGAGGGTCGACCGGCCGCCCGCCGTTTGTCTTCGCTGGGGCGATCCGCCGCCCCGGTAAGCGACCGAAGGCCCCGTCTCAAGATTAGAGCTTGCTTAGTATCGTGAAGTCCGGCGACATACATTGTACGCTGTCGTCAAGTCTCCCCACTTTACTGCTTGGGCTCCTGTAGACATTGGGTTTCTGCTTAATGAAGGCCACGGCGTGGTTATTTTGATGTTAACGCAATATTGTAGGGCAGACATGCGTCCTTTTTCGTGCTGGGTTGAGGGTAGCGTGAACAGCGTGGCATTACCATATATTGCTGGAATGGTCGGGGACAAAAACTGGCCGGAATGGTCGATTTTGCTGCTCGTTGACGTAGGGGGTAATATTCCGACTTCTGAAGATGTATTGCCCTATCCTCTCGGGAATGTTTTGCTTTCATCGCTGTCACGGTTTTAGATTCTGGGCACACATCTAGACTTTTTTGGTTTCTAATATCGTCCAACTGCAAGTTTCCGTCATTTTGCCACGCAGGTTTTTGAACCACACGCTGTTTCTCCGTTATTGCCCGCGCTGGGTGCCCCACTGTGGTTGTAGCCAGAGATGTCCCGCACGCGCCGCAAAGGCAGGCCAGCGAAACAAACAGCCAAGTAGAGTCAGGGCATCCCACACAGCGTGCAGCCGGCGCCAGTGAGTCCCGCTGCTGGACGCCGGACGAGTCCGCGCCCGCGCCCGCGCCCGCGCCCGCGCCCGTGGCTGGGACCGGCTGCGCGCTGGACGGTGGCGCCGGAGCCGGCCGCCAGCGCTGAACGGTGCGCCGCCGTCTGATCGGCAGCTCTTTGCGGCGCCGCTATCCGGGCGCGGCGCGTCATCACGGGCCGATTATGTCTCCCCCACGCGGCTCACGGCGGCGGTAGCGCCCCGGCTCATCCGCTGTCCTCCCGCCGCTCGCGTATCGTGGCCTGCCTGGGGGGCGCGGGGGGGGGGAGTGGCGGCGCTGTTTGTGTGGTGCGGTGGTCGTTGGCCGGTGGGTGCGGTCGACGTTTGTGTATGTGTGTGCTCGGGGATGCCGCCGTTGTGTTTCTTCGGGAGTTCGGGATTTGTAAACAAGCTCTGTTGTGTTGTGCCGTCCTCTGTTTCTCCAAGGTTTCGAGTAAACCATCTGCTGCATTCGATATATACTTTGGGACATCCTACTGCTTTTTCTCCCAGGATGACCCCGGGTGACGGTATCGCAGTGGTTTCACTGCGCGTCGGAGACACCGAAAGTACGGCCTGCTGGCACCCGTCCGGCCATGCCGTGTCATGATTCTGTCCCACTACCGCGCCTGTCTGTGACGGTGCCGTGTCATGGTCGTGTCCCGTACCGTGCCTGTCTGTGACGGTGCCGTGTCTTGATCGTGTCTCGTACGGTGTCTGACTGTGACGGTGCCGTGTCATATCGTGTCCCGTATCGTGCCTGTCTGCGACGGTGTCGTGTCTTGATCGTGTCCTTGTCATGATCGTGTCTGGCCCCGTCCTTGCCTGTGACGGTGCTGGGTGGCCGCCCGCTGCACGAAGCGCGTTGCCCTCAGCCGGTATCGCGCGGTAATTGGCTCCCCGCAGCGCTGCGGTGCTCCCCTATCGGACGTCTGCGTCCCTGTGGCCCTCTGACGGGACCCGGTGCTTCCCAGGGCCGCGGAACGAAGAAGGCGGCTACCTCGCCCGGCTCCGACTCGGACGACTCCGTCGGCTACGTGCCGCTGGCCAAGCGTGCCGCCGGCCGCGCGCGCACCGCCAACTACAAGGTGGACCTCTCCAGCGACGAGGAGTGAGCCGGCCGACGGCCGGGGCGGGCGCCGCCCGCCGCACCGCAAAGGAAGCGGACCCTGACGGCTCAGCCGCGGAGGGGGAGGAGGGGCGGGGACGCCGTCTGCCGGACTGTGGAGCGTGGAGGACGCTGTCCGGCGGACTGAGAGAGGTGGGGACGCTGGAAGGACGCCCGTCCATGCGGCGCGGCGTGGGCGTAGTTTCTGCACGCCGACTGACATTGTACAAATGGTGACGTGAGCTGTGTCTGTGACGCGTGCGCACGCGTGTCGGCGACGGCCGCCGGGCCGGGCCGCGACGCGGTGCGAGACTGAGTGTTGTCTTCGCTGGCTGTACCGACCTGTGTTAGCGTCTGTCTGCGCGAGCGTTGCGCCAACCAGATCTTCTCGTAGCGTCGGCGGTCATCGATGTGTCGTTCCAAGATGCGCGGAAAGTTCCGATGATCCGATGATCGGCCTTTTCACCGACTGAAACATGCCAACGGCGGGACGCGTCGCGAGCCTGCGGTTGGCTCATGCGCGCCATTTCTGTGACCGGGGCCTGTTGGCAGGCACGGCTCCTTACATTCGACCCGGGCACAGTGCGTCTTAGTTGACTATTTTTGCTTTTGCTCGTTTACAGCTCTGAAGCGTTGCATCGCATCACATCTTCACGCTTATCACCGAATACATCTGGTGTCACTGGCGCCACTCGTACGCTGGGCTGTCGCCAATTCGAGCGAGACCACGGATGATACACGCTGTTGTCAACATCCGCTGTGCCCAAAATCCGTTTGATGGGGCCCGGTTCCTGTTAGGTCAAGTTTCACCATCACAGCCAATATACCGGCGGACTATGTGTCACATGTGCTTTGAAAATGAAATGAGCTAAAAGGGAGTGTTCGACATTTATACGGGGTTTTGAACTGAGGTAGCCATCGTGAAGACCTTTTGGTTCTCCTCACAGTCCTGCCCTTCTTAAGACCTAAGCCCCTCTAGTTTCTGAGCTACGCGCCCGCAAAAATTGGGAAAGGTATATCGGGGAGAGCATCGCAAAGTCACCTTCTCATTCATGAAGTCACAATACCGTCATTCAGACTCTGCCATTTCATAAGCTATGCGGAGATCAAGGCCAATACAAATATAATTGTCGGGGCGTTGACATATGACATTCGTTAGCGCGATTTCCAGATAAAACGGCCGCCAACTCTATCCATCCGTGTTGTGCAAAGCACGGTGACGTAATCAAACCATGACACAGTGAGGAGCATATCTTCTAAATGGAGAGTTGCGCTGCCAACAATAGTCTCTTCAGCCTCAAAAGTATACAAATAGTGATGGGTTAACTTATTTCATCACATCTGATGCTTGCCTCAATATCTTCAAAGGTGACTCATCCCTTAGGTAACATGTCCACTCACATTGGGTTAATTTTAGTCAAACCAGCTGACGAGAAAAGTAATGCGTAGAATGGTGACTCCCAATAAACCTAGTGACGGTAGCGTAGAGTTCAACAACTGAGTATGCGAGTGTTACGTCACTAAGCGTCGAAGGGTACGGGAGAGAGAAGGAAGAAGGAAGGAAAAGGGCTTGGAAGGAATAGAGAGGACATAGAGATCGAGGGAGAGAGGACACGCAGAGACCGACTGAGAGAGGACACAGAGACCGACTGAGAGAGGACACAGCCCGACGGAGAGAGGACACGCAGATACCGACGGAGAGAGGACACGCAGATACCGACGGAGAGAGGACACGCAGATACCGACGGAGAGAGGACACGCAGATACCGACGGAGAGAGGACACGCAGATACCGACGGAGAGAGGACACGCAGATACCGACGGAGAGAGGACACGCAGATACCGACGGAGAGAGGACACGCAGATACCGACGGAGAGAGGACACGCAGATACCGACGGAGAGAGGACACACCGAGACCGACTGAGAGAGGACACAGAGACCGACTGAGAGGGGACGCAAGGACCGACGGAGATAGGACACGCAGAGACCAACGGAGAGAGGACACGCAGAGACCAACGGAGAGAGGACGCGCAGAGACCGACTGAGAGGAGAGAGAGGGGGAGAGAGCCCTCACTGGTACCGGAAGGGCGTGCGCGTCGCGGACGGGCGTGCCTGGCGTGCCATACTGTCTGGCTGCGCCGGTAGCAGCGGCCGGTGGTGAATCAGAATCCCGCCGTCCAGCTTCACGTCCCTGCTCAGAGGCTCCGGTGAACAGGTACGGGCATGTCTGGAGCGTTGAATGCCTTAGAGTGGCCCTGGCTGGGTAAATGATGGTCTCGGTCCTTTGATATTTTATCAAAATCACACAAGGCGTCCAAAACCATAAAAGGGGTACGAACCTCTGGGTTTTTGGGACTCTGAGCTGGTCTTTGGCCCGTCCCTTTTTTGCTGCCAGGCTTCTCATGCGCGAATCCAGGCCGCGCCATGCCAGCAGGTGCCTCGCACCACCCAAAGCGGTCAACGTCCTTTGCTCGGCCGAGCAATACCCAGTAAGAGGGGGGGGGGGGGGGGGGCACTGCTTACCGAGCAGCGAGCCCCAGAGAGAAGGAAACAAAAGAACTCAAATGTAAAAAATGAACAAGTTCTTCTCTTAAAGCGAATGTTCCGCACTTAAAGATATTGGAACAAGCATCAAATATGTTGAAGTAAGCCAACTTATAACCATCGCTATGCTTTTAAGTGGAAAAGACTGCTCTAGACGGAACAATTCCTCTGTTCTGTAAAGATGCGCTCTAATACGTCATTGTTCGATTACGTCATTATTCCTTATACAACACTGACAGAGCGAATTGACGGCCGTTGTATCTGGAGATTGTGCTCACGAACAAGGGGTATGAACGACTCGACAGTTTTTTTTTCTCGGCCCTGATTGCCACATGGCTAATGAAAATCCCTCCCCAAAATAGTCTGCGATCTTCGCGGGGGTGTAGTTGAGAAGCTAGAGGCGTAAAGTTCTTAAGAAGGGCAGGGCTTGTGAGTTGCACCGAATGATCTTCAAAATGGCTTTTTTAGTTCTGAACCCGACGCAAATGTGGAGCACTCCCTTTAAACGCCGATCATAGGCAGAACGCGTTGCGTATCCAATCCTACAGGATGTCATGGGTTCACGTTTGCACTTAATATTGACTGACGTTTTCAGGAGCTTGTAGTCAAACAGATAGACGCGCGGAGCGCCAAAGTTTCTGTTTAGACTGTTCGCGCATTGGTCCGTGGTTCAGAAGCCCTCGGACGTCCACTGACTTACGGCAAGACTCCTGTAATCGACCCTCGGCGCTGACCTCAGGTGTGACCGTGTCAGGCGTGACCGATGCACGGGGCCGTATCCTCAAACTACCGCAAACTTTGGTTGCTGTTGTTGTTTATCGGAGTTTAGGGGCGCGCCGACTGCGGTGGTCATTTGGCGCCCATAACGAGTTTGGTTTTACCTATCTAGTGAGCCGCATAAATGGTCCCAAAGTTGATGTGTTTGAGAAACAAAAAGATCTGTTGAAATTCCAGAAATGGTGAGTTATCTCCTAGCATATCACGGAGGGTAAGGGGCAAGTCATGCTGTCCAAAATAGCGTTGGCGTTCTTTCGCGAGGCGCGGACAAGAAATAAGAATATGGCGAACGGTGAGGACGGCACCACATCGATGACAGATCGGTTTATCGGCTCCCTCCAACATATAGCCGTGGGTTGCGTATGTGTGCCCGATGCGCAATCTGCAGAGGATCACCTCCTCTCGCCGCATTTTCCGGGAACAAGAGAACCACTGACCTAGCTTAGGTTTTATCTCTCTGAGCTTATTACTATCCATCCGATCTCAACAACGCTGCCGCTTGTGCAGGAAGGTTTTTATTGCAGGGTAAAAGTCTCTGGCAGGAATAGAAAGAGAGTGAACACATGGAGCCAGCGCTGCTCGCCTGGCAGCCGCGTCAGCCAACTCGTTGCCCGCGATGCCGACATGACTAGGAACTCAACATAGCATGATTTTCTTTCCGGCCTCATCCAGTTGAGTCAAACGTATTAAAATGTCCTGTATAAGGGGACATGACGGATAAAAAGACTTCACACTCAGAACGCTGCTCAGAGAGTCCGTCAAAATGAGATGCAAGGGTTCGTCACCGACTTCAATGAAACATAGTGCCTTAATGATTGCTATAAGCTCTGATGTAAACACCGAAGCGTTTGGGGGCAATGAAAACGACCGGGTGACGCCACCGCTCACAAACGCACAGCCTACGCCATCAGAAGTTTTAGAGCCGTCCGTGTAAGTGTGTGTGTAACCCTCATATAACGCAATACGCTCAAACGTCCTGGACCTCATTATATCTGGCAGCGAGACACCTTTTTTCATTTCAGTCAGAGATGTGTCTGTGAAGGGTGAGATCAAATGCCAGGGAGGAGTGCACAGGTGACGTGATCGCTTCACCTTTCGAATGGGAATTTCGGTTTCCCGCAGTAAGGCTTGTATCCGGGAGCCAAAGGTCACTGCATGAGCCCGAGGTGCATTGCGAACAAACGGCACAGCAGGCCGCGGAAAGACTGCGTGATATGCGGGATGACACGGAAACTGTCGCAGCTTAAGTGCATAACGCATGCCAAGCATTCTCCTCCTCGCTGACAACGGCGGCTCGTGCGATTCTACCAAGAGGCTTTGGATAGGAGATGTACGGAACGCCCCTGTGATGGCACGTAAAGCAGTGTGATGGATGGTGTCAATGATCCGTTTCGTGGACTCACATGCGCTGTCATAAATAAAACATGCATAGTCCAGCTTAGAGCGTATGATTGCCCGATACAGCAGCAAAAGCGTGCTCCGATCTCCGCCATACGACGTGCGCGAAACACATTTTAATACGTTCAAATATTTAAAACAGCGTTCACGTAGCGTTTTAAGATGTGCCTTATATGTAAGTCGGCGGTCAAAGTGTACCCCAAGGTATCTAGCCACAGGCTCAGTTGGGATGCATTGTTCATACATACGGATAGAAAGGTCACCGCATTGCCGGCTACGATAAAAATGCATGGCTACAGTCTTGCTACGTGAAAACCTGAACCCGTTCATGGTACCCCACTTCTCAACGCGGTCAACAGCTAACAGGAGTTGGCGTTCCATCGATGGTGGTCTTGCCGCGCTAGTCCAAATGGTAAAATCATCAACAAAAAGCGCACGACCTACAGACTGCGGAAGCCCCATCCCGATGTCGTTGATCATAACGGCGAACAAAGCTACGCTGAGAACGCCGCCTTGGGGCACACCGTTAACTTGAACATGCCTCTCAGAGAGCACGCCTCCAACACGGACACGGAAAGAACGGTCAACTAGAAAGTTTTGAAGAAAGGTGCCCATATTGCCGCGTATACCATACCTATGTAGCTTGAGAAGCATGCCTTGACGCCATGTGGTGTCATAGGCGCCCTCTATGTCAAAGAACACTGCGCCTATGTGTCGGCTTGCTTTAAAGGCCATACGAATCGCAGTGTCAAGAACTAAAAGATTGTCAACTGTGTTGCGATGCTTTCTAAAGTCACACCGGGCGTTTGTAAAGACGCCGTGGTGTTCTAAAAACCAAGTTAAACG